ACTTTTATTCCACCAATATCAAACAGCACATTTAAAATGCTGTAGTTTTAAATACTATTCGCCGTGTCTATACATATATATATATATTTACTTGATCTATTTTATTTATTTACTTTACTTTGCATTTTACATGTATGGTACAGATTACACTTATACATTTATTTGGTACATACATGTAATACCCTGTAAGGGTGTGGCAAGTATAAGGCTACAATTTACATATTGTAACCTTGAACGTAGTTCATTTATACAGCTTATTATATTACATCTATTTTTAATTATTACTAAATACTACTTAATATTGACGTTATAATTGCAATACATTTTTATTTTAAAATAAATTATAATTTACGTATTAATTAATTAATTGTGGACAATAATTTACATCTAAAAATTATTATAATTTCAAGTATTACAAGCATTCATTAGGAATATTATATACAGTTACAAGTGCTTTATCTCTAGGTATGTCTCAGGTATCCCACTTATCTTCGAAAAATTCGGATATATTATAGTAACTTTTTTTTGTCAAGAAATCCTTCAATTGTTTTTCGAAATCCGTTTTTTTTTCCAAATTTTTCTATCTATACAAGGAGTCGACCTTTCCAATTGTGAACGGAAATATTTGAAGTAATCTACAGTAGTATTGGCTTCAGTAAGTGTAGATAGCTTATCCTTAAATAATGTTGTACAAAGCAGCACACAGTAGGGCGTTCTGTTCAGTTGTCGTTGTTTATGATGTAAAGAGTGGGCGTTTCGATCCAGGGCCGGCAACAGAAATAACGGGCCCGTTGCTCAGATTGCTTTGTAGGTCTACAAGTAAGCCTTTTTATGTTAACGTCACACACTTCGAATGTAGAATGTTTAAGTAAAGTTCTTGTCAAATATTTGCGTTTCCAATACATTTAAAAAATTATAACTTTTCTGTTCTTCTTGGAGTTTTCTTCAAAGAGGACTGCAATTGCTGTTGCCAAATTAACACCAGAAACAATGTACGATATACTCTAAAGTGACAAGATATAGGATTAGGCGAAGACACAATGTCCTAACAGGGTCACATGTGTTTGGTGTTGTTGTCGACGGTCCTCGACCTTTCATTTGACCTTTAGTTGAATACGTAGCTTTGGACACGTGGCCCTCCTATAGCTGGTCCTGTATTGGTGCATGCTAATGAAGCGATAAGCGAGCGCGGGTGCGGGTGCGGGCTTCCGTGCCGCGTCATCGTCACCACGCGGGTGTGCGCCTTAACTAGATAGCGTTCTTACTGAACATGTTTATTGTTTCCTTTAAGTAAAGTCTTTGATTGGAATACGCTCAAGTTGTACAATCCACGAACGGAATTAATCGGCCGTTCCTCAATCGATATGCATGAAATTTGAAAGAAGCATAAAAAGTACAATTCTGCAGGTCGTGACGAATTTTGAAAGTGACCCGAGATAATTGAGATTAAAGCTCAAATGTTATGTCTATGGGAAAAATATTCAATTACAAAATTTGTGCAGAGCTTAACAAAAGAAAAATAAGGACTGCTACGTTAGTAGGGAATTGACGTTCTGGCTAGTGATTTTACATTTTTAACCAACTTTAAAAAAAGGAGGCGGTTCTCAATTCAATTAAAGTTTTTTTTGTGTGTATGTTACGCGATAACTCCGGTATTTGTGAACCAATTTTCATGATTCTTTTTTTGTTGGAAAGGGGGTGCCTCCATAATGGTCCCATTTAATTTTAAAGAAAATCGTCCACCTCTAAGGATGGTTGTTCACGCATGAAGGTTCATTTTTATAAATAGCGCCTAAATTTTATTACAAGGAGCAATTATTTTAAAGTCGTCACAAAATAATAGATCATATTTGACAGCTAAACCAGTCGATAGTATGTAACTTTGAATGCAATCAACGAAACAGTAAATAAGCAATTAATAACTTATTGGGTTTTAAAAAAATACATAAATTTTATTGAAGGTCTATACGTTATGAAAGAAACATATTTCAAGTATTATTTTCGCAGGAATTCCAAAATAAAATCCAATTTTGAGTTACTCCGAAACGTCTTATAAACAGTTACATCTTCAGTCTAATTCTTTTTAATAATAGTGTTGTAACCAATAAGCGCCGACTATCATCGAGTCAAATCGGTTTCACTTTAAAAAAAATGACTTATTTAATTACTAAAGTCGTCACAAAATAATAGATCATATTTGACAGCTAAACCAGTCGATAGTATGTAACGTTGAATGCAATCAACGAAACAGTAAATAAGCAATTAATAACTTATTGGGTTTTAAAAAAATACATAAATTTTATTGAAGGTCTATACATTATGAAAGAAACATATTTCAAGTATTATTTTCGCAGGAATTCCAAAATAAAATCCAATTTTGGGTTACTCCGAAACGTCTTATAAACAGTTACATCTTCAGTCTACAAAGAAATAATTCTTTTTAATAATAATGTTGTAACCAATACGCGCCGACTATCATCGAGTCAAATCGGTTTCACTTAAAAAAATGACTTATTTAATTACAAAAACAAAAATTTTAAAGTGCTTACAAAATTAGACTGAGTATACTAGTATTTATAGTAGACAGAACCGTAAAGTCAGATTTGTATTTCCTTTTCTTTATCGCAAATTCTGAAACGGCAACACTGATGTCGATTTAGCGTCACTCTGCATCGGCGCCCGCGCAGTCTTTCGCCGTCTTGGAAGTTGACTGTACGCTTGGTTATTCGTGGTGTTTTTTCTTGTGACTCGGCTGTGCTTTTGGACTACTTCTATTTTCAATCTCGTTGACCTTGGCTTGGATATTTTGGACTTGATTCTGTGTGAACTCTTTTTCAACATGTCGAAAAGAGGACGTGCTTTAAATAGCCAGACTCGCGAACTGGTTGTGAAATTACACGACTATTTCGAAAGGGAGTCACTTAATGGTGGACCTCTATTACCAGTGACACAAGTGCAAAATCGCGTCGCAAGTGCACTTGGAATCGGCAAAAGAACGGTACACACCATCATACAAGAAAAATATGGGCCTTCCGGCTCTCAAGAAAACGTATTACATACGCCTAGAAAGAGGAAGAAAAGCAAGCCTGTAACAGGTATCGACACGTTCGATGCAGACGCTATTCGTAACCATGTTTATACATATTATACTAGACACGAGTACCCTACTGTGAGTAAATTGTTGGTATCACTTCGAGAGCTTGGCTTATTTACTGGGAGTGCTACCTCACTGATTACAATTTTGAAAAAAATTGGTTTTAAATACAAGAAGTCTGACAAAAGAAATATTATGATGGAAAGACATGATTTAATATTACAAAGAGTTTCATTTTTGAGAGAAATGAATAAAATTACAAATTGGGATAATGTTGTGTTTATCGATGAGACTTGGTTGAACTCAAACCACACAGTACCACAATCATGGACCGACGACACTAAAGCATCCAGCTCGAAAGTGCCAATGGGAAAAGGTGGTCGCCTCATAATTTGCCATGCTGGATCAGCCGGGGGAGGTTTCGTTAATAATGCTTTACTAGCATTTGAATCAAAAAGTACAAAAGAATATCACGAAGAAATGGACGCAAACAAATTTAAAGAGTGGTTTAAAACTTTACTTCAGAACCTCCCCGAACAATGTACAATAATTATGGACAATGCATCGTATCATTCGGTTCAAATAGATCGAGCGCCGACTCAGGCAAATAAAAAGGCTGATTTGGTGGCATGGCTACAGAGGAATGGTGTCGAAGCTGACATGGAGCTATTGAAAGTGGAATTGTTAAGATTAGTGCGAGAGCATAGACCTACAAAACTTAGGTATGAAATTGATGAATTGGCACTTGAGCATGGACATAAAATTATAAGGACACCGCCGTACCACTGTCAATACAATGCTATTGAGTTGATTTGGGCTCAAATTAAAGGTTAATATTTTTGCATTTAATACTGTTATTTTAAATTCGTATATATTAAGACTTATTTTGTACTAGTAGCATATTTTAATAAAGTACAAATGTAAAGAGGTAACATATAAACTTTCGAATTTGTAATATCACTGTGAAGGAACATTACTATTTTACAACAGTGTTTTTTTTTTACAGGCTACGCAGGACGTAATAATACTAAGCCACCGTTCTCCACAAAAAAAATGATGACTTTATTAAAGGAAGCATGTACTAAAGTAACAAAGGAAGACTGGAGAAAGGTGGTGGAAAAAACTAGAAAACTAATAAAAGAAGATTTTGACAGAGATGTTAATATTGATAATTTAATTGAAAACGAGTTAATTATATGGACTGGTGAAACTAGCTCAACAGATGGTTTTGGTTCATCTTCCGATGACGTTGATAAATAAAAAATTCCAATAAGGAGGTCTTTTGTTTTACTTCAGAATTTTGTTATTTACGTACAGGTTATCCTCGTGAACTATGCTAATGTATAACTATAATACAACAACAAGTACAGGTTGCCGTTGTGCTCACTTAAAATACTTACTTATTATTTCTATTAAACTGTATAACGTTTAAATAAATGTTGATTGATATATCTAGAACTGAAAAGCAATGAACAGAAAAATAACCTAAACGATTACAAACTCCTAAAATTTTTAATCGATTTCTCGTGAGAATCGTTTAAACTGGTTACCGATATTGCAGTTCACATCACTATTTACGTTGCGATGACATGTGTCAAATATGATCTATTATTTTGTGACGACTATAGTGATTGATTTTACTATTTTCCAATTCAAGGCGTTTTTCTCTCTCAATATACTTTGGAGTAATGAGAACCGATTTTTATTATCTCTTGTGTTAAGTTCCGTATAGTGGCGAACTAGGGGATGAACCCGGGTTTGCGCACTTTCCGGTAATCGATTTCAATAAAACTTGGTAATTATATGTCATTCCACGTACTTTTGAGGTCGGTTTTTTAGTACTCTGTACTGAGATTATGTTGCAATATATACTAAATAAAAACAAAGTACATTGACATTGATTACAAGATTGTGTGTAGGTTGTTTTTAATAATTGAGATTACCTCAACAAATACCTATGTATATAATAATTTACATATCTTCATTACAAGCTTTACCCACCGACTGCGCTGCTCGCTGCTCGCACTCCATTATTCTATATAAAAGCCAACAGCCCTGTCTACGTCAGTTAACAGTGCAATTCGTCGATTCAGAGCTTGTATTGGAAACTGTGCAAGCGAGTTGTCCGAAGTTGCAAGCATAGTTGTATAGTTGGTATGTGGACTGCTTGATCCACGAGCGGTGCCGGTCCACGTTGATGAACACCGCGACTCCTCGCACCAAACGGGAAAAAATCCCAATCAGTTGTGTCATTGGTTTCTTCACTATGAGACTACAGCCTGGATCGTCACTGGAAATGGAAATGTAAGTCGTGTCTGTATTTTCACCGACATCGCTTTGTGAACTTATGTCTTGAATATCTAAAAGTTGTAGCTTCATAAAACCAACGTTTTTTTTCATATATCTTTATAAATAAAAGTGAATCGATGGTTACCAAAACCTATACTGTACCGCCACTCACCCTCTCTAGTGCTCATTTGAAAACAGTTAATAGGTTCAAATATTTGGCGCACTGAGTGAAGACATCGGGACATTCGCGCGGTGTGTAAGGCGTGTTCCGGTTTTGAAGGGTAAGAGTGCTGGTGAAATTACAGGCGCATGGGACTTGTCAACTTATGTCTCAGGACGACCGGCGCAGTGCTTCTCAGATATTTGTGATTTAAAGCTCTGAGCGGCATTGCAACTGTTATGGACAGGTGTGTCGCTGACCACCAGGCTGAACGACTAGCTCGTCCCATCTCTTGGTATTATAAAAAAACACAACGAGCTTTGCGTGCAATGCGTTACAGGGCCGAGGCGAACATGCCCGATGCCTCGCTAGAGGCCCGCACCCGAGCATGTTTACGTACTACCGGGACAGCCCGATGTTAGCTCGGTAGATGTCATTGCACGTTATACAATAACGAACTGCTCGATGGGGTATGAATGTTCTGTTTTTATATATCATTTGCATTTTTGTATTGTAGTAATACATTCCTTTATGAGTTTTGATGTTATTTTTGTTGACTAACACTTTTGTCAGTGGAGACCCATGCCCAGCAGTGGCATGTACAAAGGGATGATGATGATATGCCCTTTTAAATTATTTCATTCTTTTTGAGACTCTCGTGAATTTTGCTAACAACCCTGTACGTGTTTGGAAATATTTTTGCTTATCGTGTAAATATCCGGCACAGTGCAATTCGTTATCATATTGTTATTACTTTTATATTATTGAGAGATGAGAATGACGGGAAATGAATGGAGACAAACACAAAAATGCGTTTGGTGAACCGAATAAATTATAATAACTACTTATATACTTGATTCAGTGTCATTTTCTCCAGCAAAGCTCATTGGTATTTAATTAAGTAATGTTAACAATACGTTTATGTTCTCGTTTATATACGTATATGAAAATGTACAGTATTAAATATACGATTATCTCTAGTTACAGGTGTGACTTACGTTATTTTCCCGATATTTCGGAACGGTTATACGCTCAACGACCATGGCGTGATTGACCAATTGCAGTTGACAGTTTTAAGAACGGGCATATCTACTGTCTACTCTCTTTCGCTGGCGACAACTACCCTTCTACCCCATCTCGATTTCTTGCGGCGTTACCAATGTCACTCATTTTTTTCCAGTAAACTACACTCAGTGTATCCACATGTGCAACCAAACAATTTTAGTGTTTGTTATTGTGTGGTACTAAGCACCGGTTTCCTTATACTGGATAGTTGAAACTTGTCTTCACAATTAACCTTTCTATGAACTAATGATGATTATTTAATGAAAAAAACACGAAAGTCTTAAAAATTACTCACTAAATATGCTTGACGAATTTAGAATTTGTGCAAAATGTGTCGTCAGGAAGGGATAAGTTGTACAAAAAATTACTGCAGTCGGCGAATGGCAGCAGATGCACTTTGTAGCCGGTAAGATGTCGCGAAGAGAGAGCGTCCAGGCCACACTGCATTGGTCGTCGATTAAAAAAAGATTTGTGTTTATAAAAATATACTAGTCAATAATGTATATGTTACTATAATAGTAAATTTGAACTTACCAAAGTTGTTGTTTTAGACCAAGCAACCATGAACGCTTCGTCTTTAGATGGCTTCTTACGTTTTCGTCCTAATATTCCACGCAATGGATGAGTTACTGCTCCACTTACCACTTTACGAGTGTACGATGAGAGTAGTTTCTGGGAATTATTTGATTTTTTAGCTATATCGCGCTCTAACTCCACCAGTGCAGGTAGCCGTGACTTGGTAACCGGTATTTGCTTTGGCTGACCAGTTACATAGTCGTCATCATTCCTGTTCTTGTGCCTATTTCCAACAGGAAGAATAATCTTTCTAATGTAAGGACCCATTGGTGGTGGTTTGCCAATAAACACCACGCCCAAGTTGTACACAATATTGTCTGTGTTATATTTAGGATGTATTTTGTACGACAAAACGCCCAACTTCGCCAACGCTTTGCTCGGTTGCGACGAGCCGAGGTAAGCCGTGATCCTATCCTTTAAGTTCATCTGTTTCAAGCAGTCCGCCGATGTCACAACCACCTGGGCTAGAATCAGCGAGCCACCGCAAAACCGGCCTTCACTTGCCTTTGATCTACTGGGATAGTGAAGAAACACAGAGTGTGCGTATTGTTTAAAATACACTTGTTTTTTCGAGGTTTTTGCCTGTTTCGTTAATAAAGAAATAAACAATAGTGTTGTGAGCATTACAGCGTACAAGCCCTGTTCAATAGGTAATACAGTCTGAGGAACTTATCGCGAGTCTCGGATTTTTTTATTACTGGCCGCTAGTAAAATACTGAAACATGAAAAATATAACAAGATATATTCGAGTTTTATTATTTCAGCAATTGAGAAGGTTCTTTTACGTAATAAATGTTGAGAAATTTTAAATTTCGTACGTTACATGCCTTAAAACTATTCCAATTGCAACTTAAACTGGTAAATACGTGTTAAATAATATAGAAGAATAATAATTGGGAATGATAACTTCCTGAGAAGTGTAACAATGTGCGACAAATACAATTCAATATTCATTAGTGCTTACATATACTGAATGGCAGTGAATATTAAGCAACAGTTGCCATAGTGATACACACCTACTTCATCTTTTCTGTACTTATTTGTTGCACAGAGAACCATGTGAAAATTAAATATAGCTGCAGATTTAAAAGTATAAACGTTTATTTGTCTGTTTTCATTCTAATCTACGAACCATCCTTAATACTTATAATTATAAGAAACATTCTTCCGAGACGCAAGATGGAATACTCAAAATGAATGAATGAATGAAATATTCTTTATTGCACATTATGCTACCACGGCGACACAAAACTGTAATTTGAGTATAAAAAGTAAGTTAATGTGCAATAAGTGTCCTTATTGTTACGTAGCTATTTCTTCCAGGTAAGGGGTGCAACTGAAAATATCTTCATAAATACACTACATAATAAGTACTAATAAAATCACCTATGTACCTAGAGGTACATATAAGATATAGATAAAGATAAATTAATATATAATAATATCACATTAATGCAATTCGTGTAGATTAGTTATTTATTCCATATTATATTGTCATGTGTAGTTAGTCGTTGAGTTATATGTTGTAAGTTGCCTGATTTCAAATAAAAAAAATATATAAATTGAAATAAATTTCTTATACACTTTTGAATAAAATAAAATAAAATATTGACAAGTTATTTGAAGGAAACGAGAGAATGAGATTATTGAATAGACTCAGAGACGAAATTCCACAGTCAGATCGCAAACACGGTAAAATAGTTGGAATAAATCTATAGGTATGAGATTTTATGTTTAGTAATAACGTGAGATAGGTATCACTTCATACAAATTAATTTTAGTACATATTTAAAACTGTAGATGGCGAAACTTGGATAAAATAAAAAATATCAAGTATTGAATATCGAAAATTTCAGGCAGGTATGTCATAATAAATAAGACGTATAAAATATAAAAAAGAAATGCAGAAGTATTTAAGCAATATGTTAGGAACAACGCTCATTCCCAACAGTGCTACCTAACTATCTATCTAGATAATTAACTACCCTTACTACCTATCTAGTTTCTATCACGCGCTGCATGGCCGGCAGCAATCTGGCCACCGGCTGCGGTTGGTTGGGTTTCCCTTCCACAACCCAGGGCGTGTCACTCCTTTATACTGTATCCCCTGGTATATTCGGCTTGTCCGGGTCAGATTTGCTCTGGCTGGGTGTGGTGCCAATGAGCAATGAGCAATGATAAAAAAATATTACATTCGCATCGCGAGTTTACTTGTTACCATCTATTGATCAGCGTTAAAAATCAAAATAGACGTCTAAAAAAGCGGAGTTAAGAGTGCGATATTTCTTTGTATGACCAATCAAGTATCTGTACTAGTATAGCATTATATTATTATCTGTGCTAATAAGCTGGTATCAGAAAAGCGAAAGGTTCGACAAGGTGGAAAATTGATCGTTCGTTGAGGTAAGGAGACGTAAAGGAATGAAATAAAATTCAGTACAGTGATGAAATGATGTAAAGGTCTATAAGCCGGTGGACGGACAGCCATTAAAGTTGTGCGCTAAATTGGAAGATATAGTACGAAGACCGAAGATGAACGTTCCAATTTATTGAGCAAGATGATGGACAAATTCGGGTAGCAAACCTAGTCCAATATCGGTTGGAGAATGCCCTGGGTCAGAGTAATTTTTGTCTTAGTTGGCAATAAGTTTTTAAGCTTCCTTAATGAGAAATGCACTACAAACACCTTACAACTTCAGTGCGTTTCCAAGTCAAACATCGATCAAAATGACCCTCGAGATCCTGACTGCCCCCAAATAAAGAATTTGGACACTATCAAACACAACAGGTCGCAAGGAGTCCAGATCAACACGAAATGTAAATGCAAGTGCTATCCATAATAATACATTTTGGGCGAGACGACTTATATCTATATATATCTATAAAGAGCAAAGAAGAGACTTCAGTCGTGTATAGATTTAAAGTCCCTTTTAGTAGCGTCAATGGCAAATGGTACATAATGAAGAGACGAAATGGTAGGAAGAAGGGGGAGTATGTAATAGAGTTGATAAAGATAGCATTTAGAGAGGAGAACCCTACGGAACTCCGGACGGGTTACCGCACCACGGAGAGAAAGAATCCTCATTACGTACGCAATAACGACACTGAAAAGTACCTTCGCAACTGCTAGAGATATGTTACAGAACGCAGTACTTCCAATAATAAGCCAAAGTCTAAAGGCATTACTGAAGTCAAAGAAAGATAGAGAAGCCAATTGTTGATTTTCCATACCCGTAAAGATGTCATCAGCGATTTGTGTGAGTGCAGTAGTCGTACTTTGACCAATGCGGAAACTAGACTGGAAAGGATACAAAAGGTTATTTCTGTTTAAGAAATAGGCCAACTGTCGGTGAGCGTGTTTTCCTAGGACTTTCGAAAAAGAAGAAAGTATGAAATGATATAAAATATACGAAAAATTAAGTTATAAATTTTGAATTTGAATACACAATACGGTTAACAATAATTTTTTTATCGATAATATAAAAATGGTAGCCTTATATGAATACTATAATTTGATAGACGACAATATTATTTCATTGATTATGTACAAAAAAGAGTTTTAGTGGCAGCCAAAATCCATTTGTAGAAATACGGTACTTCTGTGTAGATAATAAGACTCGTCGACACACGCGTTATCTTATGAGATACAATGCCAATTTGGATGTACCCACGGACTACCAAAGCGCTGCCGGAGTCACCCCTGTCAAATTCAAATAATTTAAACATTTAAAGATCACGAAGAGAAAGAAAGCAAGTGATAAAATGCTTCAAATTGAAATTATTTCTAGCAATAGATTATAAGCCCGATTTTGTATCGTCATTAATTGTACTAATTCAGTCCTAGCTATCCTAAACAAGAAATGTGAACAATTATTCCCACGTTTGGACATAGATTGACATAGATTGGCAAGTCAGATGTGAAATGTTCATTTTCTTAGGTCAAACAGACATACTCGGAGATTAATTATGCAATAATTCAGGTGATTTAATTGATCAATGAGTTGGTTAGCATCGTAAATTTGTTTAAAGTTGGTTGCGTAAAGGTAGACGACGTAACTACCACACGTCACCAGAGCTGGCGGTGAAAATGTTTTACACATGTGTGTAATAAGTTTTATTTCTTAGTTCATAATAGCTATGAAACTATAATATGAACAGCGGGTAAGCGGAAGCTCTATTGATTTTGAATTTTCAGTATGTCTACTTAGAAAATACACCATTAATGAGTGAGGAAAGAAGGAACTCACACCGCAGCGTAGCCGAAGTCCGTTTCTTTTTTGTATCCGGTTCCACAAATGAACCCAAGATCCAAATGCGGCAATATGAATTTGCACTCATTTCGTGAATACACTTTTTGCCTCGTGGTCTTTAAGAATATCGTATTTGTGTTACGTTTTTCCTGGCGGATAAAATAATTTAGCAGTCTGTAATTATTCGATTCTTACCATTAATTTTCAATGATGAGTTTTTGATTGAGAACAATAAAAAAAATTACATCTGTGACACCCCATCCAGCCTGCATAGCTGGTTGGTCGTAGATACTGACTTGGCTTAGAATAACTCTTTTTACTGCTTGGCTGAACACCAATGGTTTTGCCAGCATGGCCAAGGCAATGTCGTTTTTCATCACCAAATTATCGTATTGAGGATGGACGGTAAAAGTGGTCACCTCGAAGAACTTTCTACGGTTTTTGTTCGCATCACCCACGGCTACTGTTATCTTAGTACCGGGCCTGCAGTCGGCGAAACAATGCGCCGCTGATAGTAACATCACCTGGTTCAAAATTGACCCTCCGCAAGCAAATTCCTCGAACGTTTCTTGAAGGCACTGAATAGATAAATACGCTGAATGTGGATGGTCCTCAATGTTAGCAAACCTTCCTCCTACAATAAATCCTTCGAACTTCGAGCTGCCAGTTTTGCGCAATGACTTTGCTCGGGATTTTGTTAAAATCATTAGAACCGTGAACAAAAAAAACCTTTTGACATGAATCATTTTTAAATGTGTTCTTTTCGAGATTAATTGGAACTCTTCTAAAAGTAATGAGTAATAAACATTATCCCTTCATTTGGTGTTATAGGTATTTAATTGCTACATAAAAAAACAATAGAAATGATTGGTTTTAAATTAAAATAGTGCATGACGTTGAGCGTCTATTACATACTACTTCAATTAGTGTCGTTAACACTATTGCCTGTTTTTGTATATTCGCATGTATTAATCATAATAAATATTTTATACACGAACTCATTTTTGCTTCAGTGGCAGTACTCAAATGTTTGGTAGCAATGCTCACTGCACATACTGCAGAATACGTTGTTTGGAATTTCGGAGGAGAGCGACTGCTGAAATTCTTTAGGCGTTTAATTCTGACAAAGATATAGCATTAAAACATTTGGCAGCAATAGTCAAAGGACAACTATTAAGACCACTTTTAAAGGATTGACAACAGTGATCCACACATTAGTGTGGAGTGTGTTTTGGTATATTTTGAATGGACCTGTTGATTTTATAGGCCCCTCATAACTAGATATATTTAGTTTTGTATACCTCAGCATTTCCATTGCATCGTCGAAGTCTTTGAATAGGCTTTAGGTCATGCCACATCGCGCGTTGCGTGCTCAACTGAGATCGTAACGACAAGAAGATGACGGAAGGTTCTCGTATTTTTTTCTTGTGATAACTTATTGTTTACTGTGCCGAATGTCGATGTCCTAAAGTTTTAGCACAGCGCTCTACAATAAACCCTTCAAACTTGATTCTATCCGAAGCGCAGTAAGGTCTATGCTTGAGACTTTGACAAAATTGTTAGAAAAATTCTGTAACTGTATATTTCGTTAATATATCCTTTTTGCTAAAGATTTATTAGCGTCATTTTTAAATCGCTGTAACTATTAAGTTTTCATTCATCCCATTATATTCATTACAATACAAATTTGTATTAATTGATCGGTTTTGAAGTGGACTCTTGTTGAAAGTAATTATGTGAGATTCAGAACAGAAAGACGATTGATTTCCATATTCACTCCAATGTATTTTACTCTTTTAAACCTCTCTCCTTAAAGAACGCTTTATTTTTCATTCTCCACTCCGCTGTCCTCTTCGGTTCTCTGATACACTCATACTAAACATGCCCTCCGATTTGTGCTCCAAATCCTGTATTATGTCTGCTATTGGCTGTGGAATTCCCTCTCTGAACCTATTTGACGATCCCCTTTCTTGATTCCTTTAAACGACGTGTCAAGTATTTCCTTAACTCCTAAGTTTAGATTATTCTCTCCAAATTTAATTTACTTTAATTGACTTCCGTATTACATAGTGTTATTATATTCTTGTGTTTATTTATTTATTATTTTTATCCTACAAAAGTAAATTTTACTCTAAAATATTCTATGGTTGCATCCCCTTTGCCAAGTCTTAAGATTGCCTGGAAAAAAGTGATACTTGTACATTAGCTTATTCTGTAATACTTATATTACTGTTCAGTTCTGTCATTGTAATTTTTTAATGTGCAATAAACAATATTTCATTTATTTATTAATTCTATTGACAAGAGATGATGAGAAACGTTAGGTTAGGTGTTATTGAACGGGGAGTGAAAACCAAAATCGGGTAAATTGAGTCTTTATGAGCAGAACGTGTTGAGACAAGCACGTTTGGCAGAAAAAGTACGACAGTGGGGTGTATATTGTAGAAACAAGTTTATGTAGTCCATGCGATGCTACTCTTAAAGACGCAATGTTTAACAGTGTAGTAAGAAAGCATTGTGGTGTGAAACATGATAAAGTGACCAGGAGAGAAAAGACAATTGACGTTAATTTGGCCATAAAGAAAGGATGTATGTAAGGAGATTGACGCAACAAATTTATAGAGCTAATGTCGATGGAACGTGAGGAGAGGTAGACTTCGACGCATATATCAATCAGCTTCAGGATGTCCTTAAAATGGCCCAGTAAAAAGTCCTAAGAATACATGGGCATGACATCGCATCGGGATGCGAGTCAAAGTGGCAAAAAGGGTTGTCATAAGAGTGGAGGACTATGGTGTATGCATTGACTTAGAAGAAATAGGTACATTTCATACGACGATACAAAATACACAAAATGTAAGAATATGCTAAATATATGCTACAATTAAATTTAAAAAAAAACAAAATTCGGGTATTAATTTAAAAAAAATTAAATACTCAATTTTCGTTGACTTTTGTATCGATAATGTAAAAATGGCGGCATTCTCTTTTAATGTTAATACTATAAAATGATGGACGATAAAATGTTCAATTACTTAATTGAATATCTACAAAAAAGGGCCCTAGTTGCAGTTGCAATCCAATTGTAGTAATATGGCACTTCAGTATAGACAATAAGACTCGCAGAGACATCCGTTATCTTGTGGGATACAACGCCAATTTGTATGTACCCTAGGACAACCAAAGCGCTGCCGGAGTCACCCCTGTTAAATAAAATAATTCGTTTAAAAAATAACGAAGAGAAAGAAAGCAAGTGATAAAACTCTTCAAATTAAAATTATTGCTAGAAATAGATTATAAGCCCTACTTTGTTTCCCCATGAATTTTATTCATTTAGCCCTACCCTAAGCATTAAATTGTTTTATTTTAATTATGATTTAATTATTTGCATTAAATGTTAATTTTTCTTCGAAGGTCAATAATGTAACAATTGAGGTTATTTAAACTATTGATAAATTAGTTAGCATCGTAAATATGGTTATAATGAATTGTTTGCATAATGGCAAACAACGTACCTTATCGCAAGTGCATTAGATACACTCATATCTACAATATCAACGGCGGGTATCTCGAACTTTGAATTTTACTTCTGGTGCAAAACTGAATTCGAAGAGATAGTTTAAGTTTATAGTATACACCGTAGAACTACTAGCAATGTCCCCGAACAAATAAGTCTTAAAAAACTGAGTATCTATTTGCATCTATAATATATAGTTTAAATACATTACATTACACTATCTTTAATTAAGAGAGAAAAGGGCGACTCACACCGCAGCGTAACCGTAGTCCTTCGCGTCTTTATATCCGGTTCCACAAATGAACCCTGCCGCCAACTGCGGCAACATAGTCTTGCACTGGTTTCGTGAATATACTTTTTGCCTCGTGGTCTTTAAGAATATTGCTTCTGTTTCACGTTTTTCCTGGCGGATAAAAATAATTTAACAATGTCTGTCTTATTCGATTCGTATCTATTTATTTAGTGAAGTTTTGAGTAAGAATTTAAAAAAAATTACATCTGTGACACCCCATCCAGCTTGCGTAGCTGGTTTATCGTAGATCCCAGTTTTGCTCAGAACTACTCTTTTTACTGCTCTGTTGAACACCAAAGGTGTCGCTAGCATGGCCAAGGCAATGTCGTTTTTCATCAACAATCCATCGTATTGGGGATGAATCGTAAAAGTGGTCACCTGGAAGAACTGTTTGCGGTTTTTGTTCGCGTCACCCACGGCTACTGTTGTTCTAGTGCCGGGTCTGCAGTCGGCGAAGCAATGCGCCGCTGTTAGTAACATCACCTGGTTCAAAATTGACCCTCCGCAAGCAAATTCCTCGAACGTTTCTTGAAGGCACTGAATAGATAAATACGCTGAATGTGGATGGTCCTCAATCTTAGCAAACCTTCCTCCTACAATAAATCCTTCGAACTTCGAGCCGCCAGTTTTGCGCAATGACTGTGTTCGGGATTTTGTCAAAATCACTACAATCGTGAACCACGTGAAACACGTCTTGACACGATACATTTTTGAATGTATCTTTTTCGAGATTAATTGAGATCTAAAAGTAATGAGTAATAAACGTTACCCCTTCATTTGGTGTTATAGGTATTTAATTGCTACATGAAAAAGCAATAGAAGTGATTGGTTTTAAACTGAAGTAGTGCACGTCATTGGACGTCTATTACATACTACTTCAACTAGCGTCATTAATACTTTTATCTGTATGTGTATATTCGCATGTATTAATCATAATAAATATTTCTATACACGAACTCACTTTCGCTTGAGTGGCAGTACTCAAATGTTTGGTAGCAATACTCACTGAACATACTGCACAATACATTGTTCGGAGGAAACTTGAGTGTGAAAATTCTTTAGGCGATTAAATCTGGCAAAGAACAATTTATAAGAGACAACTTTTAAGCCTCAAAATACTTAATATAAATAATACAAAATATAGCATATTTGTGTGGAAAATGGAATAAATTTTATAGCACGGTTTGAGAGGACTCCTCATAATCAGATTTATTTAGTTTTGTATTCCTCTGTATTTCCATTGCATTGTCGTGGTTTAATTTACTTTTGCAAACTTTTTAAAGTCTTTGAAGAGGTTTTTAATCTTTTTGTTTGCGTTACCGAACTTTTAACGAATGCAAATATTTTACCGTCAGCTTGTGTAGTGAGCGCCATAGTCAATAATATTATTTGGTTCACCATTGACGCCCTACATGAAAAGTTCTGACTGTGAAGAAAAATAAATCTACAAATCAAGCTATAATTGACTTATAATCGGAAAGTATCAATAAAACGGAAGCAGTATCTACAATCTATATATCTAATTTAGTAGCAGTAGAGCTCCTTGTGATAGAGTTCGTACAGGGTAGTACTACCACCTTACCCGTTTCTGCTGCCAAGTAGTAATGTCAGCATTACTGTGTTCCGGTTTAGAAGGGAAACTTTGCTGGTGAAATTACAGGCACGTCTGACTTAATGAAAATGGAAGTAAATTAATATACTACTCCGCGAACCCAGTGAAGGTTAAAACATGCAAAATAGCTGACGACCGCAGTTGCTGAATATTTTTTCATGCAGTTAATTATACCACCCTCCCTCCGCATAAAATTAATAAAATAAATAACACAAGCGCAACTACAGTCACAAACCACCACCAAAAATATACCCGACAAGTGTTTCACCTCCCCGCGAGGAATCCTCAGGGGCTGTTCACTGCTCTTAGAACTGACTGACTGCTTTTAGAACAGATGGAAATAATTAGGTACAACAACAGGGGTTGTATAATAAATGAAAAATTGATTTTTGCATCATCACCTTTATTACGGGTATTTCCGAGTTTCATCAATAGCAACACTGGGGGTAGTGGGGTATAAATACATGAACTGTTCTGAACAAGCTCACTCTTCAGCCGAGAGTCGAGCAGTCAACAGCCCTTGAGGATGCCCTGTGGAGAGGCGAAACACGTGTCGGGTATTTTTATGGTAGTGGTTTGCGGCTGAAGTTGCGCTTGTGTTATTAATTTTATGCGGAGGGAGGGTGGGATAATTAACTGCATGAAAAAATATTCAACACAAGCGTAGCCATTTTGCACGATTTAACCTTCACTGGGTTCGCGGAGTAGCAAATTAATTTTCTTCCATTTTTGTTAACATGGTAAAGTAGCGCCTGAATCTATTAATTACATTTGACTTGTCAACTTATGTCGCAGGATGACGGGCGCATGGGCCCCGCAGAACTTTTAATCTTTCAATTTAAACTGGGTGGCACGATAACTGTTATGCACAGGCGTGTAGCTGACCATTAGGCTCACGACTTGTTCGCCTCATCACATGACGTCATAAAATAAAAAATACTTCATGTACACGAAGAAAGCGTTAGATTTCGTGTCATATAATTACTATTAGATAAATTATTCAAGCGCGGATTGAGAGGACTCGCATATGATCTAATAAAATCATTTGTACAAAATCGCCAACAGGAAACACATATGATATATATGGACAAATACAAGGAAAAAGTAGCCATATCAAATATAAGAATTGTAGAGCGCGGTGTACCACAGGGTAGTATACTAGGGCCACTTTTATTTTATTCTTTATATCAACAACTTGCCACAACACGTTCATCAAAAGATGGTACTTTTTTATGTTGATTCCTCTGTGGTAGTTAGATACAATAATTTCAATGAATATGAATTAATTTTGAACGATGCACTAAGAGACTAGAGAGAGAATAAATAATTTCAAAAAGTAGTAAATTTGGAAAACTAAGGAACTAAGTTTATGCAATTCTATAAGCCACAATCGCAACCGAAAAATTTAAATTTAAATTACGATGGAATACATTGATCAGGTTGATGAGACAAAATTTTTGGGCAATTACTCTTGAATGTCACTGGATCTGGAAGACAAATCAATAACTTATAACATTAAACATAGTAAATAAGTACATGTTCTAAAAATCTGCCAAAAAAAGGCTCTTTGTGCTTATCGCGCATATGTAGCCTCTAGTTTGCGATTGCAAAACACATTTTTATTAGCCACTATTTAAAACTCAGAAAAATATGTCGGGGAAAAAGTTGTGTACCTTACAGGCAACTTTAATTTAGTCAAAACTGGATGACCTTTTTTTTTCTTTTTAGTCCCCACATAACCACTGAGTCTCCCTGGGCTCAGGGGTATCCATAAAGATTTTCCCCGTCGAAAAAAAAAAAAAACTGGATGACCTAGAAACAGATGCAATGAAATAGAAAGGCGGCCAAAACAACCCCTAATTTGGAATTTTAAAATAGAACGATTTTTGTATTAGCACTCAAATTACTAAATAAATTACCGGATGCAGTAAAAAAATTAAGTTGTTGACAATTTAAAACGTAATTGCATAATTAGTTAGTTACTCAATGCAATATAATATTGATGATTTTTTACTTGGTAATAAAACGTAAAATGTAAGTAATGTTTGTTATAATTTTTTATTTTCATTTCTTATAATTTGAAGGAAAACCAGTGGGTAATCCGTATTACTACGGACATCTACCCCCTAATCTGAAAATTGTTACAACCGATGAAATGTTTTATAGTTGACTGAAACTCATTTTATTGCGCAATGAATTATACTGCGAGTAGAGAAATTTCTTTAGAGGAAATTGTATTTTTTATTCTATTTTATGTTATAGAACCTATTATTGTTTATGTTAATGACGATCGTAATATTCCTTGACATTATATTTTTAAGTGTGACATTAAATAATATGAAATAAGTGATTCTAATCTGTTCTTTGTTTATTGCAAGTCGTATAATGCGCATAGTTTTCAATTGCAGCAACGTTCCTTTAGGTCCAAAGGAATATTTATCATGCCTGTGCTATTGATTTTATTTTCGTCTCACGATATTTTCAAATCTCAAATTTAAAATGAATTTATTATCAGACAATAACTCAATCCATATTTGTCAGTAACAATAAACTTATGCGCTAAGTTAGTAAAAACAAGGAAAACAATTACTATAATAAATTCAATGAAATTACTCTATTATATGTCAACGTGCAACGCGATGGACCTACACAAGACAGACGAATCCATTGTTCCTGCTATCATCCTGAGGATACCATTGCTGTTCTCACGCAGTCGCAACATTTGTGACGCACTTTGTTTGCGCATTACATACATGCCAGAGGTGCAGCAAAAGCGAGGAAGCCTCAATATAACTCTATTTTGTCTATCCAGCTTAGATTAAGTAATATAATGAAAAAGAAAACAATAAGACTTTTCTTTCAGCCGATGTGTAGTAATTACTTAAAAATTTGTTGCGATGCTACCTTCAATTTACAGACACAAAATACCCAGTTTTATTCTTTATTAGGTTTATTAATTATATTAAATGAAAATAAAATAACAGGGAGTGCTGTTGTGTAAAAGTTGATGTAGTGTAGAGGAAGTCCTCGGCGTACAAATTCGATCAGATTGGTTATGTATTAAAAACGCCTAGTTAATCAGTAGCTTGTCAGGATTTAGCACGTCGACGTTCACGGTCTTTGGCTCGCCCAGCGGCGTGATGTTACGTATAATTTAGTTTATTCCATTAACGTTTAGATTCGCGTAAACTAGTACTTAGTTTTTTTTAGTGTATTGTGATCGGTTACAATCATTATGGCGGCTCTGTAAGATATAAATTTTTAATTACGTATTTGTGTTTCAACAAAAAAAAAACAGAAAAATATAATATACTTACATAAGATATGCCTAACCTCCCAAGTCTTTAGCATTTTATATTAAATGTATAAGAATTTGCGTGCAAGAATGTAGCAAGTAAAATCGTAAAAAATGTTATCAAAACACCGTAACAAATGCACAGCAATTCATAAATAAAGTACCTAGTCGATAGTTAAATTATCGATTTTTTTAGCGTAATGTCAATAAAAGTTTCATCGTTGCAGCTATCGGAATATTGCGGAACCTTTTAAATTTGACCGGGTAATATATTATAGTTGTTACTTTGACGCTTTCTTCACATCCGTATTACTTTATTTCATTTCTGAAACTCTCCAATGAAATTGCTCCTTCAGGTGTATGTAGTATCTGCGTACAGTCAATAGCACATCGCGCGTTTTACATTTTTTTATACCGATAGCGCGAAGTATTGCTTGCAAAATTCAGAGGAATACTTACATGGAAGGCAGCCGAAGCGTTTGCTGTAGCTTGAAAATGTAGAGCCAATTGCACGTCATAAAATGGTCATAATTGATTATTTGAATTTTGGACCGTTCTCATCGTAAGCGGCGTAGGGTTGAATTTAAATATTAGGGGTTAAAGTATGAAACTGCCGTTTCGTATTGAAAATGAAAACATTTTTTTTGGAAGATAAAATACATTTGTTTAATCAAAGTATTTACCCTCGTTGTCTATACATTTCTGATATCTAGTCGGGCGGTCATTTAAACCGTTGCGATAGAACTCTAGCGACCTGCAGGCTTAGCCCGAAGACAAAAGTTATCTCTTCTTCGAATTGTC